AAGGTCCCGGAGGGGGGGAAAAAAAGCACAATTAAAAGCCGACGGGGTGGAGCCGCAGGTTGCTCTTTCTAAGGAGTCTTGACAGCAGCGACCTTATCGTTGAAATCTCTGCGGTGTAATTAAGGTTTGAGGGGAAGAGGGAATAAGAGCTCTCTTTTACCGATTTATTTTAATTCGAGGTATTTTTGTATTTCATCTTTTCTGACCTTGGAGGTAGCGTTGTCGCTCCTGAGCAGATCGGAGCTCCCCGCAGAACAGCTCCCGTTCGCACGGCCGGGCGGGACGAGTTCTGCCCTCCTGCCCCCGCCGTGAGAGAGCTGCTGCAAGCGCTCTGCGACTCTGCCGCTGCCTCTCTGACCGCACCCGGGTTACCCCTGCCTGTCTGACCGCTCACGGGTTACCCCAAATTAGGGGGTTCCACAACAGCTCGGCTCTGCCGGAGCCATCGCCCTTAAACAAAAGCTGCCGGTGTGCGCACTGAGACCGTGCAGCATCTGCTCAGAGAAAGGCATTAAATTATCAACAAGTTACTTGCACTGGAGAGTGTCGATGAAGGTATTTTATTGCAAGGGAAATGGCCGTTGTTAGAGTGTTTCTTGTAGCGTTTGTTTACCAATATTTATTTTTCCTGAGATTCATTTTCCCTTTTTTCTTGTTTCCCCGCTCTCCCTCATTGTCTTAAAAATTGCCTGAAATACTCTGTGGGCAAAATTTCCTATTTTAGATAGGTTATTAAAGTGTAAGTGTTACATCTCAGAACATTACTTAAAAATACAGTCTTACGAATTTGCTTATGAAATGAAAACAAAGTTTATTTGTATTAAATACGGGGAAGAGATTTCCTAAGCATAAATGGGAGAAGCCTTTGTCCAAAATCTGTGTATGGTCATAAAATGAAATTATCTTTACATGTCTCCATTCCCAGATCTTCTGCCGGCATGCAACGGAGAAATAACAACCATGTCTTTCCTACAAGATGTTGTGGACATTTTACTTCAGTATGTGGTGAAAAGTTTTGATAGATCAACGAAAGTTATTGATTTCCATTACCCAAATGAGCTGCTTCAGGAATATAACTGGGAGCTGGCAGACCAGCCACAGACCTTGGAAGAAATTCTATTGAACTGCAGAACAACTCTGAAGTATGCAATTAAAACAGGTAATAGCTATGCTCATTTTCTACCCTGTATGGTCTCACCCATTGATTAAAGGTATCATTTCATTTTATCTTGAAGCGTTAAAGATTGAAGCAGCGACTGTGTTGTGTCAATTCCAAGCAATTTCTAGCAGAGACAGAAATCGTTTTCCTAAGTGACAAAATACTCCAGCAACCCCGTCTCTCTGCCTGTCAGTGCAGCATCGTACACCCTTTCCGATTTAAAATTAATGCTTCTGTTTGTCGGAGTTGCCGAGTGTGCCCCTGAGCAGCCTTTTCACCACCTTTGCGACTTTCCTCTGTTCCTTCCATCCATTTTACTTGCGATGGCCCGGGGCTTGCCCCTTGCTCCCCAGAGACCGAGGGGAGGGGCCGTCGGGCGCGGAGTTTGGTGGCAGCCGGGACATGGGGGTGGAGGGTTGGGGGGCTAGTCCAGCCGAGGGGCAGCAGGAACCAGCCCCTTAACAGCCAAAATCGCAATAATCATCCTGTAAATGCGAACTCCGAGCGGCCATTTGCCAAGTTTCTCACCTGCGGGGCATAAAAATAGGAGAATTTGGCAGAACTGCGCACCAGGAGTATTGCGATTTATTTATTTATGTTCCAACCTTAGGCTCAGGCGATAAAAACAGAGCCCGAGTTGTTTTAATAGCTTCTTGTAGTTGTTGTTTTGCAGCGGGGAGGGCAGGGATGGGTTGACTCCTGCCTGTCCGGGCACTACCTCCCCAGTCAGCCAGTCGTGCCCCCGAAAGGGTTTT